GATAGAATTTCACATGCCATTGATCTTTTAAATACTATGTTGGATCAAGGGTGTGACCCTGATTCAGTTACATGTAACATTTTCTTGAAAAGTTTGAACGGGAAGTTGAATCCACTTGAGAGTGCGAGAGTTTTTTTGGACGAGCTAGTGGTGCGGTTACACAAGAGACAAAGAGTTGTTGGGGCATCGAATGTTATAGAAGTTATGCTTCAAAAGGCTTTGTACCCTAACCTGTCAACTTTGGATAAAGTTGTTAGAGAACTATTGAAACGAAAGAAGGTTCGAGTAGCCATAGACAAGTGCTGGAATGACCTCTTCCTTTGACTACTCTATAGGTGAGACGACTTCCTTCTTTGGCAGCATTCTTTACATAAAAAACTTTTTACTCTCCCCCTTGAATTAATACAAGTTTTTTTAAATGAAACGAAATTGCCTCCTCTGGTTTTTTTTCCTAAAAAAATCAGCACGGTCTACATTTAACATGAAATGCGGATGTTCTTCCAGCTCTATTTGGCCATTCAATGGTGTAATTCAATGCAATTGATTTCCAGTATACCCGTTGCTCAGTCCATGTGATGTAGTCATAAAGTGGTTTTATTTGATTGCTTTATTTCATTGCCTGATGCATGTTACAAAAATTCGAGCTTCTTGCTGGAAACTCAAGAACTGTTTCTGATTATAATACTACTCCTAACATAGCAGGTTTGCATTACTTCCTAGTGTTTTGCCGAACCTGACAGAAGCAGCTTGCTTGACAGCTTCTGACATTTTTTTGGTCAGATCTCTCTGTAAAAAGATTGTCTGGGGACTTGAGCCGATACTTTTCATTGGAAATGAATATTCAAAGTTTAAGGAAATCTGAAATGATGGACCTCATGGAGATAAATGGCTAGCGGTCTTGATTTATGAACTGGAGATATGAAAGGTAAGAGGGAGAGGGAAGACACATATTGCTTTACACTATGCTTGGTTTACACTATGTTTGGTTCAAGGAATTTGAAAGGGAAAAGAAAAGAAAATGAAGTGGAAAACCGTTTTTCTTGTTTGGTTAGAGGGGAAAAGAAAGGAAAAGTGGAAGGAAAAGAAAATGAGAAGGCAAAATGTACCAAGTGGAGGGAAAACCAAATTCCTTCCATTTTGGTGAGGAAAATGAGAGAAAACCATTTTCTTTTCTTTTCCTTCCAAATTCCTTGAACCAAACATAGTGTTAAGGATTTGAGAGGGAAAGGAAAAGAAAATGTGAAGGAAAGCATTTTTCTTGTTTGGCTAGAGAGGAAAAGAAAAGAAAAGTGGAAGGAAAAGAAAATGAGAAGGCAAAATGTACTAAGATGAGAGAAAACCAAATACCTCCCATTCTGGTGAGCAAATTGAGGGAAACCGTTTTCTTTTCTTTTCCTTCCAATTTCCTTGAACCAAACATAGTGTTAGTGTCTTTGATGAAGTACAATAATGCTTACAAGTGATGTCTGTTTATACAGGGTAAGATGCATCCAACGTCCACTCATCTTCACAAAAAAACCACGTGCACTTAAAGGATGAATCTGCGATAGGACAGAAATTCTGTGTTACAGCACCGAAGAGATGTTGAGTCAAGTTGGAGATTGGGCATGGCCAACAAAAACCCGAGGTGCTCAAAGCCGACCAAGACTGCGTCCCGGGCAGTAGTGGGCCATGTAGAGGGCCAGATTGGCTTGCTGTGATTTGGGCTGGGCTCGTAAACCCAAAAGATTTATCCTATGAAACAGATAGAAATAGAAATGAGGAAAGGGGATTCCCTTGTCCAAGATTGAAGTCAAGAGCAAGTATGCCAACTTCTGACTTGTCCAAGGTAGTACTTCTTATCTTGTCCTAGCTCTTCTCAACCATGTTTTTTTAACTAACACAAGAGGCTAAGATGCAGGTTTTATGTGCTTTTTGTAAATGCTTTTAGTTGAATGAGTAATTGAGTATGATTCAAAAATGGGATGTTATATCCTAGGTGCCGAGTGTCATCCATTGACACTAATTTGCAGTGTCAACGGAACCATACCGAAATAAGCATCTGCTTGCTTTATCAGTTACTCGTACCTTTAAATCTTCTACGCATCTGGTACTACACACCCTTGTTTAGGGAGTACTTTTTTTTTCTGTGTCTATATATGTTCTTAAAATCCCCGCCTAGCCTAGAGCTTGTCTGTTTTCATGTCACACCGTGTAATTAAAACTAAAATGTTCTTAATACAAAGACATTTTCATTTTTAAATTTGTGACATTTTTTGTAGTAAGTCTACAATGACACCAATGCTACTAGAGTCATTTCCTTACACCAGCTCGTTTGGAGCACCTATGGTGCCCTGATTGTAAAATAATAGTTCCTACCCTTTAACACTCCTCCTAAACCCCCACTCCAGTATACTGCGGGGTAGGGGGGCAAGGGTGGGGCTGGAGTGGAGAGTTTAGGGTGGTAGGAACTGTCATTTTAGAAATCATCCTAAATAGGACTAAAACATAGAGAAAAGTACCAAAATAGGACTTTCATGTTTTTTTTCCCGAAATAGAACTTTGCACTGTGGTAATGTGACTTTGCATTGTGGTAATGTGGTAGTGTACATGTGCAAATTACTATACTTTTTTTGTAATGTATATGACCATGTTTGGTAATGTAAGTCCTATTTCGGGAATAAAAACATGGAAGTCCTATTTTGGTATATTTTCATTGTTTTAGTCCTACTTTGGTCTTTCTCCCCTGTCATTTTTACAAACAGGACACTGTAGGTGTCCCAAACAAACTGGTGTAAAACTGCTATATAAGTAATTAATGGCACTTCATACTCCCTTTGGGTCATTGAGAGAATATTATTGGTTCGGTAACATGTTTTTGATTCATTGTTGATCCACTCTTTTGCCTAATTTGGTTATGGCTGCCGGTCTTCTTCATTCCATATTTTGTGAAAGTATCAATATAACAAAAAAATCACAAATTATACCGACTATTTTTAACAAAAGAAAAATACTTTTTAAAAAGTTTTTATTTGTGGTCTCTTAGAAACCAAAATATGACGTTTTGTGGTTTACAGAATGAAATATAAAGTACTTGATTGATCATGGACTCTTTGGGGGATCCTTGTGTCCTGCAATTCAGTGCACGGGCGCCCAACAAATTACTCCTGTGAAAGCAATATATGAAAGCCCAAAATTCACACCGGTCTTGTTTTTCACTATTCAATTAATTTCTCTGTTCATTTATTTTTTTTCTCCACTTTAAGAGGATACGGATATTGAGGTCCCGTTTGGTACACGGAATTCAATCTATGGAATTGGAATTGAAGAGTTCAATTCCAATTCTGGTGTTTGGTAGCACAAAAATTATGTAGATTTAGAATTGATAGTGCAAAAAATAAATTAGAATTGGCAGAATTCAATTATATAGAATTGAATCACATGGAATTTCAATTTCAATTCAATTCCAATTCCATCAATTCCGTATACCAAACGGACCCTGAGGAAAGTTGAGGCCTTTATTTTTTTTCCATGTTCTTTTTCTTAGATCACCTCCATCTTCGCCTCCTATGGGTTTTAGATCTTCATTGTCATTGCTCCCTTTGTTGTTGCTCAAATCTTCACCAACGTAAAGTTGTTGATGAAGTTTGCCCTAATCTCCATTCAAGCCGGAATGAAGATTGTGCCGTGGTAAAGGAAACAAAAAATATATATGGACAATCCAAAAATGAAATTCCATACCAAAATCGACATGATTGTATACAACAATAACCCAATAGAATCCCACAAAAGCAGGGTCGGGAGGGTGTGTGTATTCAGACTTTACCCTACTAAGAGCAGAGAGGCTGTTTCCAAGAGGCCCCCAGCTCAAACAGCACCAAAAAAATCGACATGATTGTATAAAAACGTGAAATTATCTTATTAAAACTGATGCAAAAAATAGAGAAATACGGAATAATGTACAACAATCCAGGATAATCTCAAACTTTGTTGAAACTCGCAGATTTTTACCACCTCTACTCTATGGAATCAATTACACATTTGGACCACAATGCCCTTTTTACCAAACATTGCCTTCTGTCAAGGAGAAGCTGTGTGTGGGATTAGCAAGAGGAAACAAAAAAAGTGAAATCCAGAGGTGAGATGATATGACTATTATGTCCAAGATTTGGCAGACTTGAGGATCTTGTTTCCAAGGTATCTGAACCCATGAACTGCACCAGCAGCCAGCATACCTGCAACCGCCTGCCTTCCGCTCGACACCATTACCCTTTGCCTGATGTGCTTACTAGCCCATTTCGCTGCCTCTGCTTTTGAGCGAATCGCCGTGTCTTGTCCCATCATTCCTGATGAAACAAGAACACCAAACAGCTCTATTATGGTGTTCAAATTATATCTGCATCGAGACACCAGACTCCAGAGCAAGACATAGAGGTGTACAGAAAGAAGATGCCCAATTAAAAGTGTAAGAAGATTCTCAGAACAGATTGAAACACATACCAGTGCTATGAAGTTGTTTGAACCCAGCAAGATCAGTCTCTATTTTGGTTTTAAGGAGCGGCGGAAGGTGTGACACCAAGATAGAGGTAGCAGATAGTCCGGAATCCTGGTTTACAATGCCAATGCACACCAAACTATGTTATGCAAAAACATTGATTGTGCAGATTTGTACTAGTGAAATGTCATTTTTCTCAGTTTCACCCTTCAAACTACCTAAGATAAATTCTACCCCACATCTTATCAAATACCCGAGTAGTCATTTTTCCCGATAAACAAATCTGTTCAACCCAATTGTCAATGCACCATAAAATGTGTGCATTTTCTGATTGAGACAGAAGTAGTTTGTAACAACTAACATGTAAACAACAAAAATTAACTTGTATAGTATGGAGAGAATGTGTGGGTAACTGGTTAAGATGCAGGCAAGAGCTTCTTAACAATAAAACCAAGAGACAAATTTAAAATTTTCAACAAATAGTTTGTTAGGCAAAAGTTTTGAAGAGAGTATGCAATATTAGGATATAAAGAGTGCAGAGAGCTGTGTTTGAACCTCTATTAATGTATGAAAGAAAAGATATTGTAGTACTAAGTTGGTGGCATTAGATATTTTCTATTTACCAAATAATGGCAGTAGAAAACAAATTTTAGCAAAAATCCCGGCTGAATGGAATAAGATGAAAGCAATCCAAAAGCTTGAGGCATTGTAGAGAGACCTGAGTCATAGTAGCTTGATTCTCACAGGTTGCTGAAAATCTCAGCATGCCATTGTCAGAAAATTCATCTAGAAATGGTCTATAAATTCTTTGGAATAAGTGAAATTGTCCTTGTACAATATTTTTCACCTAGGGATATGGTAATAAAAAAATATAAATATAATAATAATGTCAATGCATCACTCAGAATTGGTAATCATATGTCAAATAATGTTCTATAAAGAGACATAAAACCAGTCCAAACTTCTACGAACATTTGCTTGAAAACTAATAATCATAATATACTGGTAGCAGAACTTGGAAGCACAGATACTACAGTAAGTTTGAATACTATGTTTAAAGAAATAATACAACAAACCCTTGTATAATCCCAACTCCATTGGGTACAAGAGGTTGTTTCCATTAGACCCATTATTCATTGCTGCATTTACTGCCTAAAACTTTTAACTTCGTTGTGTAAAAATAGGAATTTAGCGAAATATAATTGACAATTAACTAGTTTTACTTTACATATTTATATTTTTTGCAGCGAAGTGTATTTTCCCAATTTCAGTAGTATGTCTTTATTCTTAGTTATTCTTATAGCGTAATTTAAACCAAAAGGGCAATAACTTATACTACGGTAATTAACTAGATGTTCCTGATGATTTGATACACATATTATACATGCATACTGTAAAACAATCAAACGACACCATCTTATTCAGGAACTTACATGCCAGGTGATACTAAACATTACTCTTTCTTTCAAGAAAGATCTAAAATCTTTGCTTCAACCATCCACATACCTTATTTTTATCCTCCGCAAAAAGCATACGCAAGTCACCCATATATGACAGGCTACAGATTTTGGCATAAAAGTCTTCCTGCATGAGCACCTAACAGAAGTGACACTTTCCATTTGCAACAATGTTTTGGGAATATTACTAATTTACCATACAGACTAACCTCACTGAACTCAGACGGCAAAAGGAGGAGAGCAGCAGATGCAGCAGCTCTCAAATTGACAGCGTTTACATTTTCAATATTCAAATTATCCAAAATAATATTGACCTGAGATGAGCAAGACAATCACTCAGTAGGAACAGTGATCACAGAACTAGATAAATTTTGCACACTAGAAGAAGTCAGCAGGCTAGCAGAGATGAGTTGTTATCATATATAAGAAGATGATAAAATTTTATGTAATTCCTATGAAGCTTTTCTTCCCTTTAAAATTTCACATATATATTCTGAAAAAAAACATTTGAATGCCTAAATAATACTCCGTATCATATTTACCCTGATGTTCATATATTTGTATTTGGATACGACCATTCTCTAAATGTCTAGGAAAGAGAAGCTATAGTTCCATCGAGTCGTAGACTATATTTCACACAGCACCATCGGTTTAATGGCAGTGGTGGTGTGTGTGTGCGCGTTGGGGAAGGGTCATGACTAGACATAAAACAGTAACGCCTCGTGTAAGTAAAAGGTAAGAATATAACATGTCAAGAGGCATACTGGTTTTTGCAAACGACCACTCATGTAGAACCTCTCCCATCCCTTTAAATCTTCAATCAAGTCATGCACTTGAACAACTCCGTACTTGAACATCTGCTGAAGGTAGGCAGATAAGATTCCTATGCTGGAACTCGTAGATGAAACTTATCAGTTAAATAAATGCTCAGTACCTTCTTATTCCAGGAAACGAAGGGGTTGAAGTGCACACCAACACCAATACTATTCGCAATACCATTAATCTGGAAGCAAACATGATGATATTTTACAATAAATCAAATAGAGATAATCGTTGAGAGGGAAAAAAGCTAAAGAGACACCAAGAGTGAGAGGAGTACCAGCCTACTTCCACCCAGACGAACAAGCCATGATGCATAGTGATCACGGTTCACCTTTAAATTCTACTCAAGATAGCGTGCGAGAGGATTTAAATGGTAAACGGAAGGAGAAAATCAAGAAAATAAAGACCAAAAACACAAAAGGATTGAAATTCAAGAAATACTTCAGCATGCCATTGTAGAGGATCGGCTACTCCAAGTATGTAATCCACCATGGATCTCTACAAACAAGTGAGAATAGGGTAAGCACCACAAACATCAATCACCAACCCTAACAAGTACTGTTATGTAATGACATGGAAGACAGCATAGCGAGCATAATGGCAAAAACTAGGGTTAGAAAGACCCCATGACTTTAATTGGTAATAAAGATACTGGTAAGAGACCCATGATTCAAACACCATTGCTGAATTGTTTAACAATTACTATATATTAATAAGTAAAATGGACAAAAATAAAAATTTACCATTACCAGCTAAAATCAAGTGCAAAATGTAGCAAAAGAGAATGCATGCATTTCAAATTCTCAACACATAAAGTTCAATGATAAGAACTAAATCCAAAAAAATAATAAAATAGAACTTTCAACAAAGAGCAGGTAGTACAACCTGATCCTTATTGTTTGGATGAAGAGTGGAGCCATAAACGCAGCAGAATTCAACCGGTGGTAGAATCTCAAGCAGCCCTCCAAACTGGTGGTAGAATCTCGCCGGACGGCGGTTCGAACCCACTCCCGCCCTCGTCATCGTCAGCGAGGACGGGTTCTTCACACAATTCCTCGGAGATTTTATCATACTGAGCATGAAAAAATAAAAAATTTCTACAAATTTAACCTCGGGACTGAAAAATAGCGAGTATAATTTCAGTTCAAATTTAACGGGTACCGGTTACGGTTTTGGATTTGCGGTAACAAAAATGGGGCTCCGGTTAGGGAACCGGTTATTCTCTCTCCATCCATTTTTTATTTTTCAATTACAATTACCGTGTTTTATTTTTTTTAAGTTTTCTAGGCATTTATTACTCTTTTGATCTTAAAACATTCTTCTCGTTTAGAAATTTGACCGACTTTATTTTTAATTCAATTTCTTTGATTGTAAATGTAAATTAAAAAATAAAAGTTATATACTCTTTCCGATCCAAAATGTAAGCTACGATTACTATTCCGACCTCTCGATAACTTTTGTTTGTTTACTCATTTTGGTTGACCATTTGATAAAATAAAATATTCTTGTCGCATCTTGTTTTACAGAATTTCTTATTTACTTTTGAATGGTGTAATTTTTACTTTTTATATCTCTACCAATTTGTAAATTTTTTTTAAAAAAGAGATGATATTTAACCCACTTTTTGAAGTGTTACTTAGAATTAGGGACAGATGGAGTATATAAAAACTGCATCAAAATTTCTACAAAACAAGAGGTGACACGACAATATTATTTTATCAAATAACTAACAAAAATAGGTAAAGAAAGTGATTAAGGTTTGACTGTATGAATAGTAATTTGGAAGAACGTTTTAAAAAAGGATGAGTCCCATCCCCGAGGGCCCCCTCAGACTCGGCCAGACGGTCACTGAGGTACTTGCAGAAGTTTCATACTTAGCATAATTGCCTTCAAGCGCAGTTGTTAAGAATCGAACTCGGGTCTTACTCCCTTGGCACCCCTTACCTTGTCAACTGCACAACGCCCACCAGCAGGAAGAACGTTTTAAGACGGAAGAAGCAGATTTAGATTAGCTCTTTTTTATGTAATGTAACAATTATATTTTGATAAATATTTTAGTCTTATATTATCATATATACTCAAGAATATGTACCAAACATTCAATTTTTGCAAAAAAAGCTTTCGGAACCGATACCGGTAGCGAAACTGCACATCGGTGGTTCTAGAACTGGACCGGTCCGAAATCTTTCCGTGTCCACCCCTACTCCGCATTCATTTTAAGAAACTTAATTCGTGCCATTTATAAAATTAAAAAAGATCCATTTGTCGTTTATAGAAAGTGTGGACAAAACTATACTCCGTGAGTGTTGAGGTTCAACCTTTAAAAGTGTTTATATAAATGTAAAATACCGTGAGTACGTACATATATTCATTCCTCTCTAAAAAAAAATTGGTTTTTTATATATTCAAAGAAAGAAATTGAAAAAAAATAGAGTTCATCGCAAATTAAATAAAAACTTATACCGACAATGAAAATTTACACATAAATGGCGAATGGAGGGAAAGGTGTTCCTAGAATTGCAACATATTCAATGTTGGTCTCCCTTTCAAAAAATGTTTCACTAACATAAGTTTTCGTGCAAGTGTAACTACATATACCCAAACATAAATTAGGAGGTGGTTTTGCACCTTCGTTACTTTATAAATGTTGATGTACCCCTAGCTTTTTCTGTTATAATATGTAGTCTTTTTTCACTTTCAAGATTCAAAATCCTCATGGACACAATGAAACTCAAGTTTCCTTATTTGATGAAGAAGAAGAAGAAATGTTCCAATGTTCCAAGTGAAGCTAGCTACTGCCCTACTGGCACACTACTACATCAGCTAGTTCAGGTACACAATAAACACACAGCTAGCTAGCTCAAGGAAAGATGATGATGATGAAGATGAAAGGTCGACGGATGATGATGATGATGATGATGATGGCTACCCTCGGACAACTCTTCTAATGTCCTGGTTCTCCTTGTTCAAAACCTCAATCCGCGATTGAAGAATGTTGATCATCGCCTGGGCTCTCATCACCTCAATCTTCAGGGTCTCCCTCTCCATGGACACATTCAGTATCTCATTCTCCAAGTTGCTGATGAACTTGAGGTACCCTGGTGGGACCGACTTCTCCAGCGTCGAGGAGTCAAAGGTAGACATGCTTGTTGTGGTGGTGGCCAGTTGGGTCTCCTTCGGCCCGATGGAGTCTAACAACGGGAACTCTAATAGGGTAGGGGTAGGAGAGTAATTTGTCGTTGGAGGGTCTTGGATTGTGGTCGAGTCCTGTGACCCATTTGCATGGCTCGAGCTGGGATCGTCTTGCTTGCATCTTTTGGCTTGTTGGCTCAATGACAGAGGCTCAGGCTCCTCCGATCTCTCTCTCTTGCCCACAACTGGACTCTGAGGACCCTTCAGTAGGGCACCACCCTGAAAAGAGAATATAAAGCACAGAATGAGATTATATGGTTTTGCCAAAGTTGAATCTGCACAAAGAAAACTATGCTAATACAAAAAAAAAGAAGGTATGTCATACATTTGTGTGGCAAGCTTAAGTTGGGAATTAAAATACAATGGAAAAAAGAAGAAGTGCGTGATGTGTTTCTTTAAAGGGTCCTTTCGGAACCCGGAAAATATAATAAGGGAAACAAAATAGAAAGGAAACAGCGACGAATGTTTTTGGGGAAAATACAAGATAAACTCAAAATACATTTATTTTAGATTTAAAATCAAACTCATTTTTAAAATTTATTTATTTTAAATATAAAGACTGAGAAATGTAAATATATGAACATCCCGTGCCATTTCTTTCCTTCCCCTAACATTTTCTGTGATCTAAACAAACCCTAATCATAAGGTGAACTTTTAGCTGGTCAGAAAAAGACTAAATTCCATAAATAGACATTCATAATAGTGGGTTTTCCATAATAGTGGTCCTATATATATGAAAATCGTTTCATAATCCGTCCTTCGGCTGAAATGTTTTTTCCCACATATAGTTCACAGAGGACTGATCATGGAATAGTTCTCAAGTATCGAGGACCACGAATGTAATACGAGTATCTTAGAATTAAGGACTATTTATGGAAAACTCCATGTTATGAAGGACCATTTATGGAATTCACTCCAGAAAAAATATCAAGAATTGGTTTATAGCATTCACTACTAGCAGCAGTTTGTCATGCCCAAAAAGAGAGTTTGAAATAGACATATACTCATATACAAAACCTGGTCAAGATCATTGCCCTCAACATGTGCATCGTCACCGTTGGCTGCGTCATCCTCAGCCTCTCCACCAGGAACCACAAGCATTGTATCATTGTCCCATTCTTCGTCAATAAAAGGTGCGTATCGGTCTCCGTTAGGGGGTCCCAGCCCACTCTTCTGGAAAATTCTACACAGAACAAAGGCATCCTTTTTCCTCCCAAACAAACAAATAGTACGAAAAACCCCGTGAGATTTCTTATCATTTTTTCTATCAATCCAAACACTACAAATTTCTCTTCATTTTCTTTCCTTTCATTTTCTTTCCTCTCCCCATCCAACCAAACCATTAGAGGGAGGGGAGTAAAATAATGATAAAATGACGAAAACATAGAAAAGTCCTACAGGGATTCACACCTGTATCACCCCAGCCTGGATTAATTCTTCGTCTGTAAGCCTATACTCGTGCATTACCCAATTTGTCCTCTTCCCATCAGGAGCTCGTCCGCTGTGGAAAACAAGAGTTTTCTTCATTCCAATTGTTTTTAACTTATGGCGCACGGAACGGTCCTTCCCAGTTGCCTTCCAGTACCCTTTCCCGGTGGCGCGATTGAGTCGAGAACCGTTCCCATATTTCCTATCTACAGGGCTAAAGAAGTACCACTCCAGATCTCTGTTCTTCAGAGATGAATATTCTGCATGAAATGACCATTTGCGATGAGCTGGGAATTTGATAAATATGTCAAATGAAGCAAGAAACACATTGCTGAATTTCAACACCCATAAATACACAAATGTAGCAAAATGGGCTTCCTCTATACAACAGCCAAACACCTAACCAGGGAAATATGTGATCATGAAAAAGCAAGCAAGAAAACACTCCCTATTGATGATTTGAGAAAGCCAAGACTATGAATCAGAAAAGTCTTGCAATGCAAGTATGCGGATCGCTTTAATCGTTTCAAAAATTTGGAAATCTCCACTTAGGTACACCTACATAAAGACTTCACCAAAAAGCTATCTTTTCTTCTGCAAGAAAGATACCAAGAAAAAAGTCTTGGACTAAAATTGTAAATCATATACAGAGTATATACTAAACCGATATCCAGATTATTATTACTGGTTTTATAATCACTATTCTTGTGATTAATCTGGAACAGGGATACCAAAGATTGAAACTTTGAAGAACAAAAGCCCTTTTCTTGCTTCAATTTCAACCATGAGGCTCTTAACTGTTCAATATTCCAACATTACAAGAATTCACAATATTAAAATAAGAGGAATTCATATGAATATCAATCAAAACCAAATCAGAAAATCAACCATCAAAAGAAAAAAAAAGGTAAACAGAAATCCGTAAAACTAAACAGACCCGCAAGCTCCCAGGGTTCAGATTTGTAGACATCAATCTCAGAGACGGCCTGAAACCGGAAGGGCATCCCGCAGGCCTTGCGGCGGAGGTAGTACCGGACGAGTTCCTCATCCGTGGGGTGGAACCTGAATCCGGGAGCCAGCGACGTCGGCGGCGGCGGCGCCACCCGTTTCGGAATCGCCAACAGCGAACCTCCGTCCGTCAGCGGCGGCTCCATCGGCTTCCCCCAATCGATCAGACAGTCCCGCAAGAAAAAGAATCAGTCAGATATATATGTATAAATGGGTATAAATAAATGGGGACTGGTAGATTGTTAGGTTGAAGAAAAAGAAGATTGCGAGTGAAGCAAAGCTGACAAGAAAGATGGGGAAATCAATGGCGATGGGTTAGTAGAGAGGGAAAATGGGTCGGAAAAATTGATTGCCCATAGGTTAAGCAAGAGATTCAGAGAAGAAGGTGAGATATGAATGGAATGGATGCTTGCTTTACACGGAAATCGAAAAGCACCCTAAAATAAAATGAATTTCACGACCAATTTTAATTCTTTTACCATTGAAAGAGAAAGAGATAAGATTTGATTATTTGATTGGGGGCGAAACTCTTTCCCCACCCTCGCCACAATAATGTAAATTTATCATTTCTAGCATTGTTTAATGCTAAATGGTCAAGGGTGTGTTTTGGAATAGCATTAGAGATTAGTGTTAGTATTTTAGATAAAATTTTAACGGTGTAGATTACATCGAAAACGTTAACGCTAAACGCTGCTTGTAAATAGTATTTTCAAAATGCCAACGCTAATCTCTAATGCTATTCCCAAACAGGCCCTAAATAATCTTTATCTTTCAAATTATTAATTCAATATTAGAGTCTATTCGATCATGATTTGATAAGTATGCATAGTTACCTTCTACAATTTTAAAACTTACGTTGTTACCCTTATAGTTTTTATATTGTGACACCAATGTCTCTCTAGACAAAAATATCTTTTAAATATTAGGCGGGTGATTTCGCTGCCCGTGTGGTTCTCGAAATGAGCGTCAATGCCCCATGTCTTGTTTTTCTTTTTTCTTATCTTTTTTTTAAAGAAGAAAAATGTTTATGTTTGAAATAATGAAAAGTTATTCTTCAAAACTATATTTTGAAAAAAATTAAAAAAATTAACATATACTCCGTACTTCATTTTTCAAATTAAATATTTTATTTTTTTGTCTAAAAAAGTTTTTTTGAATATGTCGGGACCAAAAGAATACTGAGTAAAGTCTTTTTTAATTTATACTCCGTAGTTAATTATGTATTAATAACATTTTTTAACCGGTGTGCAAGAGATTTTTTTCATGACTTAATTTTCTCTATATAAAAATTTTTTTTCATATACTTTTCTTTTTCTTTATTTTATTTTCTATTCTTTTTTCTCTTATTTTAATTTTGATTATAATAATAAATGGTTTAAAATCAATGAACAGAAAATGATAAATGAACTTTATTGTAAAAAATAATGTTTCGTTAATTTTTGTATCATGAAAATGAACTAATAAAGACTTTTTTTGGATAAAAAATAAAAATGTTTAATTAGAGACTTATGAAATGCACGATAATTCTTTTTATTTAATTGAGTTTTTATTGTAAACACAAAAAAGTTAATTATTAAAAATTATAAAAACTAATTTTAAAAAAGAAATTAAAAATCATGTATGAAAAAATATTGGAAAAAAGAAAAATAATAAAGCAAAAAAAGAGAGGGGGCGTTGATACCCATTTCCAATATCATACAGGATAGGAGAGCTATTCACTTAATATTTGAAGAATATTTTAGCCTAGAGATATATTATTGTAGCAATATTAGAACAATGAAAGACAACGGCGTAAATTTTAAATTGGAGTAGCTGTACACATTTACCAAACCACAGAAAATATTATGCTATAAACTCTTCAAAATTCATAAGTCATTCTAACATTACTTATTACTTATGGGAAAACTACCGTCATAGCACTAATATATGCTTTAAACACCCAATATAGCACTGCTATAGGATATTGGAACTCGTGTGAATGCAATTCTAAATTTGTCCTTGCATTCCACACAGCCAAAAAATGTGTTTAACTTGATATATACACTTTCAGAACATGGGCATAACACACTGCCATCACACCCTATATAACATGTATCCACACTGCCAAAGCATGATCATTTCACACGACTAAAAAATGTTTTTAAGTTGGTATACACTTCCAGAACATGAGCATAACACACTGCGAGAAAGTGTAGTTAAATATTGGGAACCATAACACACTGTCCAAAACATGGGTATAACACACTGTTAGAAAGTGTATGCGTACAACGACCATTCCACACTGCCAAAAAAGGGTATGATTGTAAAATTAAAGATCCACTCCATAAATAACTAAATGTGTGAAAAACAATTAGGAGTGCTATATGCGTAATATTAGGTGTCTTAGAGTGCTACATAGGGTGATTTCTATATATACTTATTAGCACAAAATACTCTTAATACTACCATTATTTCATAAAAAACGTTCTAGTTTCACTTTTTTGGTAAATTATGAATATACTCTAACCATTAATTAATATAATTTTAAATTAATAAATATTATAAAAATTTGATATATCAAAATTATATTTTAATAAATACAATCATATTAAATTTACATTATAATAATATATTACTCATCAATTTTTTAGTGCTATTGGCTCAGTCATAATGTAGTATCTGTTCATATTTTTTTCTCAGCCTAATGATGCACAAAGAGTTAATGCATCCATTTTTGCTAGGGTTCGAACTTGGGTGAACTTTTCATGGATCTTAAAGAGTGTCAGAGAGGAGTTCGTTCCATCTAATTTATATTAATTAATCATTATAACTTCTTAAATATGTTAAAAAAATAATCAATGATTGTAGACATATTTTAGGTTGGTACTCATTCAATTTTTCAGTGTATGAAAATGGTATAAACACGCATTTCTAATTACGGAGTAAATTGGAAATGTCATTTTAAGACATTAAAAAAGTAGATATATTTGGAACCGAAACTTTACAAAATGAGATGTATAAAAAAAGATGGGTAATAACATCTTAGTTAGCACTAAGATTTTATTTGATGAAATAAAATATTCTTGTAATTTCTTATTTTGTAGAATTTTTTATGTGCTTTTTAAATATGTATGTTTTGTTTTTATTTATATACCAATCTTTAAATAAAATGAATTGAAAAAACTTAAGATTTTATTAAATTTTACGTAAAGGGTAAATGATTTAAGGGCGGATGGAGTATATGATTAGATTAACGTGTTAGTTTGACACTAGCAAGGACAAGAAAAGAACATAATCACCAATCTTTCTCTATACTTTTCATCCATCCATATCATTAATGTAATTTTTTTTTGTGAAAATTTATCCCGTTATTAAGAAAATAAATAAACACCGGTTTTTCTCGCATTTACTTCTTTCAAGCCATACTTGGCAATCATGAGCGCACAATCACCTTTCCAACTCTTTTTTCTCGTTGCACGTGATAAAATAAAATGTTCACGTGCAGAGTAGACAACATTCACTGTTGCGGATCAAAAAATGTCCTCGCACGAAAAACTTCCACACTATCTGGAATGATCTTAAAACCAGTAAGAGATACTCCCTCCGTCCCCAATTAGATTACAATATTCTCTCTTATTTTTGTCCCAAAAAGAATTACAAAGTGTTTACTTTTACACTAAATAGACTCTTTTACCCTCCCTCCCCTTTATCATTTCAATGTCAAAATTTCACCCACCCACCCATTCCTATACTATTTGGGGGATAATTTGGGGAAAAAATACTGATTTGACTTTTCTTTAATTTTGTATAAAAGGGAATATTGTAATCTAAAAGGGGACAGAGGGAGTATAAAAAGAGCGACACAAATTAATTATTGTCTACAAATAATCATTCAAGTTTTTAGTATATATTATTCCCTCTATAACAACATAATATCTATTTTTTCTTAATTAATGTCAAATCCAAATATATGAAGAGTAACAATTCTTGCATGCTTATTTGCCGGGTAGGGTGATGCCCCCCCCGTGTCGGTAGGAGAATAGGTTCGTGGCCTATATGAAAAATTGGGTCAACTAATTGAGAACAATTGGTCAACGACTTTGAGGGGAGATTTCCATATACATCCTTTTTAACAAGCAACTTCCCTTCCCTTTCCTTCTTCTTCAAGCAAAAGATGATTAAAAGACAGCAATCCCACAATGGAAAATGCTAGGATGCCACCACATGGGTGCACCCATGGTAACACCCATGTAGTGGCACCCTAGTATGATCCTCCCACAATTATTATTGATGACCATTCTTATTATTGCTTGCGAAAAAATAAACTAAAAAAACTAAAGTAATAATAAAACATTAAAAAATATATCAAAATAAGAGCTTTATATTTTTATTTCCGAAATAGGATAATGTTGCATTTAGATTACCAATCATGACCATGTACATTACGTAAAATGCACATATACAGTGCTACAATACCACAGTAAAAACTTCTAATTAGGGAATAAAAACATGGAACTCCTATTTTAATATTTTTTTATGTTTTAGTCCTATTTATGGTAATTTATTCTTATTACTTCTTCCCTCTTAAAAAATGATTTAATTTGATTTAACACAATTTTAAAAAAAACAAAGATGTATGATTGAAAATGATGGAGAGAAAATATAAACTCTATGAGCTACTCAAAATGAGGGAAAGAAAAGACATTTTTTTTTGAAACCTTTTAAAAAGGAAATGATTTTTTAAAAAACTGTTTTAGATTTCATTAAGTTGTTGTGGGCCCTAAAATCACATCCCCATCTTGCCCTTTGACTTATTATATGCACCTCAAATACATCAATCTCATATTTGCAGGAGGGCATCTTCAAATCCCAGATCTCATTTTGGGCGATAAGACTTACTCCCTTCGTCCCATTTTATAACGCCTGTTTCGGTTTATGATATTTGACTAAAATTATTTTTAAATTATTTTATATGAAAAATGGTATAGAATTAAAAAATAAAAATTACATATTAAAAAACTACATCAAAAATCTACAAAACTAGTAGTGACAATAATATTTTATTTTATCAAATTGTTAACGAAAATAGAGAAAGAAAGTGAATAAAATTTAACCATGTGAATAGTGAACAGACATTATAACTTGGGACGGAGGGAGTAAAAAAAGTGTGGGGTTTTCATCTTCAACCTATACTTAATCTTTCTCTCTCTCTCAAATGACTTGTCATGTTTTGAATAGTGTTAAAAATTGGCATTTTTTTAAAGACTTTATTTACAAATTGGCATAAAAGTAAAAACATACCCTTCGTACCTCAAAAAAGTTCATTTTTCATTTTTTGTGCATCTCATAAAATACTTGTATCCCATCTAAAATAATAAAAATACCCCCAAAATAACTTTTATCCGTAATAAAAGAGAAATTGGGTGAATCATAGACGGGAAAATGACTAAAATAAAAGTGAAACATTGAATATATATCAAAATAGGAGTTTCATATTTTTATTCTCGAAATAGGAGTTAAAATACATTTACATTACTAATCATGACTATGTAAATTGTCAAAAAGTATAGTAAAATGCACATTACAGTACCACATTACCACAATGCGAACTCCTATTTAAAAAATAAAAACATGAAACTCATATTTTGATAATTTATCTATGTTTTACTCCTATTTAGAGTGATTTGTTATCATAGACATTATAGATATGGAGAAAAGTGTATTTAGAGATGTACAAAAAATGAAACAAAAACTTTTTCTAGGAACGAGGGGAGTACAACTTACTACCTCCGTCCCACTCTCTTTGTCCACTTTTGACTTTTAGAACTGTTCATCTAAGCACTTTGACTCATAAAATTCTCTCAATGTGTAAGCCTAAATATAGTCATGTGTGATCTTGTTTGATTTGTCTTAACATATAGATTATTAATATATAATTTCTATAATTTTTTAATATACAAATCACAAGATAAAATGGATTAAAGAAGTGCATTGGATGGTGTGCCAAAAGGTAAGTGGACAAAGAGAGTAAGACGGAGGGAGTATATAAAATTTTTTGATGTTTCCTCGAAATTGTATTCTAATTTTTTTTACAAATGCATCAATCCTATAAACACACAAAGTACTACTACGTGATAGTGTGATACTTTACATTATTATCTATAAACTTACAAATATGTCATAGCAAATTTAAAGGTCTCAAATATACAGGGTATAAGTACATACAAAACATTTTTTTATTATAGATTGTATTTCCTGCGTCCCAATTTAAACCGTCTCTTTCGGTTTATGATGTTTGACTGAAATTATATTCAAATTATTTGATATGAAAAACGATGTAGAATTACAAAATAAAATTACTCCAAATATCTACAAAACTAGTGGTGACATGACTATATTATTTCATCAAATGACTAACAAAAATAAGAAAAGAAAGAATGAAATTTGACATTTTGAATAGTAAACAAACAATTTATTTTGAGACATGAGTATTTAACTTCTCCCTCAGGGAAATAATTTGTAAAAATGTACTTAGTAATAGAAGAAATTAACTAATCAAATGTGAGATTTTTTCTAAAAAACTAAAAAAATTTACAAAATATAATATAAAGACCGGATCGAACATGGACCGACCAAACCGGATTACCCAATCCTAGATCTATTTTATTTTTATACTCCGTAGCAAATAGCAGATAGTCCGAACTGTTTGAGAAAAAGGACCCGACCAATCCCGTCCTAAATAGTACCCCGGAGTACCAGACTTTCTAAAGACCGATCTAGTCCGACCCGTCCAATACAAGTATTAGAGGAGGGGAAAACCTACGATCCCCAATGACCATTTCTCAGAAACATGAAACATTTTTCTTCTAAACTTTCCCAGGTTGCAAGATGTGAATATGAAGCCAACTAATTATTCCTATCAAACCCCACTAATCATGAGAACTCAGAATCAAACATCTTTTAAAAATGAAATTAAATCCCAAGGAAGAACCTTAAATTTTCTCCCCAAGCATTCAGTAAATTGCTTCGACCATCGTCGTCATCACAAAACTCTAACGAGCTGGAATAAATATGTATCACGAGCAGAATAATCTCATCTCGTACGCTACTTGCTTGCGAAACCGACCGGTTTTTCTTCCAAAGAGGTGAACATGAAGTTCCCAGAAAAGACAGCAGCTTTATCTGTTTGTTCATAAATGCCTCATCAATCAATAGTGTAAGAAGCCTAACAGGTGAAAACACAGAATGACCTCTACACAAGATACCCTCACTTTCAGTGTTCTACTATAAGCATAAGTTCCTAGGTGGATGTTGGAGAACTAGGATTAGAGTAGCTGGATAGGGGCCCGGTGCTTCAGAGGTTTTTTTGTAGTGTGTTTTGTTTGGTTGGAAATTTTTGCTATTGCTTGCAGGATTTTCATTCCATTGTACTTGGTACTTTATCTGTGTTATACTGTGATTCTTATCATATTTTTTGTGCAGTTGGAGCCGGGGGTCTCTTGGAAACAGCCTCCCTACTTCCGAGTAGGGCAAGGTCTGCGTACACACACCCTCCCTAGACCCTACTGTAGTGGGATTCAACTGGGTTGTTGTTGTTGTTGTTCCTAGGTGGATGCTAAGTAGAGAGTTGGTTGAGGAGTGAGAAAATACCGGTCAGTGAGAGACACTTGGTTTCTCGGTGAACATAGCGTGACATAGCCTGCAGATACCAAACACGTGTTTAATCAATTTCAAAAAAAAAAATGCCGGTAAATTATATTGTCACCCTGCTGCAGTAATAGAAAATACTAGCTGTTCCCATTCTGGGTTCGTTTGGAACCTCGAAGATGACAGGGGAGTATAATAGAGAGGAAATGGAGAATAAATTGGAAGGAAAGAAAGAAATTGATAGGATTGAACTCAATAAATTTGTTGTAGGCCCTTTTCGAACTCATTTTGTTGCAAGTTTACAAATCACAAAGAAATTGCACATTTTCCCACCACCAGACATGCCGTGTTGGATTTTGGCATGTCTGATACTATTACCAACTTGGTCTAAATACTAGCAATTGGATTAGTTGGATATGGTTGCAGCAGGACTTGTTTTCCTATAAAACGCTATTATTAAGTTCAACTGTTCAAGACAGAAAATCCATGTCGAAAAACATGAGTGGATGTATGACAAGAAATAAGAACACTTGCCTGGACAGGAAGCAAGGCAGGATCATTCGGAGTTAAAGTGCCATCATCCGAGAACACATTCCTATAATATTACAAAAAGACTAAATACTTTAGGCAACATTGCGTAAGCAAAGATAGATGGCAAATAAACACTAAAATCGCAATGCATGTATGTACACTAAGATAATAGTCATTCTTTATGTGCGCATATAAATGTTGATGTTCAACAAAAAAGAAAAGGGAAATAAGATGAAGACTCGTGACAGAAGTAGGTAAGAAATCGATTTACCTCCAAATCACATTTTGCAACTCATCTGGCTTTGCCTCAGGAAGAATGGCAGCATCATAAGCAACAATGTTGCCATAAAAAATTTTCTCCAATTCCTTCATCCATTTACTCAACAGCAAGTTAACCTGCAGTTCCAAATAGAATGGGGGACATGAAATTAATAATGTAAAACATTAATATATTATTTCTTTTGAAAATGGAGATGGTCAAAGGTTCTAATATCGAATGAAGGTTTTCCCTTCTTCAGATCTGAATATGGATGATATGCTCGAAATGATAAGCAAGCAAGCAAAGGAATACAACATCTAGATTCAGGACAGAAGTTCAATAACTACCCCAGCCTTAGAAACTCTCAGTTCTAGATCATGATTGTATCTCTCATACAAATATTGTCCCAGCTCAGAACCCTCCTTTCCATCTTCTTTCAAGCGGCGCAAGCATAGCCACATATGAAGAACAAGCACAGAGAATGTTGTTCGAAATGTCTTCTCCAAGCAAAATACTGCAAAATATAAAGCTTTGAGTTACTTTTATGGTAATAAAGTGCAGAAAAATATATTAAAAAGCAATGACTAAAGTTTTTATGGTACTTTTGCAACATGTAAGTAAGCTTTTCATTAGACAAACGAAGCTACATAAAGTTACTGGCAAGTTAGAACTTAGAACAATCCATACTCTCCTAAATGCTGTTCCTTCAAAAATCTATGCAGATAATTTTAGGGAAAGTAGATAACAATGCATGAAGTTGGCATCTATCTATGTTCCCATACTTTTACTACTAACACAAGGGAAGAATATGCGGAAAACAGAGCAGAGATAGACTGACCATCATATATAGCGGGTCTATCAACTTGACAAGTAATGCGGTGATAGATAGCATTTGCCCCTCGAATGGCTGTACTTTGCTTACTGTAAAACATCATCAGTTTGAGGATAAAACGCTTGATTCCCTCATACTGAGGCTCTTCTATTCTTTGTGGTGAGTCAGAGGGCAATTCTAATGATGATGGTTTAGACCAAAACATCTTGTTTAGATTTACCTGCTTTAATTATAAAATGTATTTAGCAAACAGTCATACAATAAGGACGCAATGCAAAACACCATTAATCCCCTAAGAAGCACATACATGTTATTGCATGGCTAACTATATCTTTCTTAGACCTTAGGGAAATTCTGTAACTTCCACTTGAGGTAGGCAATTAATCATGAACAGGGAAGCGGTTAAACATAAAAAATAAGATTATGTTGTTGATGAGAAGAGCATGCCCAAAAGGGAGAAAATTCCATTGAATGCCAAAAACAGAATGATTTTACAAACATGTTTCTTTTTTTTTTTAGTGCACCTAATTAATACAGGTATAAAACCTTTTTCACTTGATACTGGAAACTCAGATCTAATGTACATAAAATATTCACTCAGTACTGTTGACCAAGAATGTAGTGTTGTTGACCAAAAATGTTCTACACTTAGTACTGGAAACTCAGATCTAATGTACTTAAAATATTCACTTTCCACTAAGATATCAAAATACAAGGAGTATTTCTTTCAAAAAAAATACAAGGAGTATTTATCTTTTAGACCTCAGATGTGTGCATCTACCTAAAAATCACGTTAAAAAATGGATCCTTCATAACGCAAACCTCATTTTTAATGCCAAAGCTTTTCTGGGTGGGATTGTCAGTGACTGGTTCAGCTGCCTCCGCCGTAAACTTTGAAAACCCTGGATTTTGCAAACAGAAAAACAATTTCCCCATTTCCATGTTCCTCCCGGAGTTCATCCTACTTAAATGAATAACAGCTTTACTCCATCTAGGAAGCATTTTGCGCAAGCTATGAAATGCTGAAAACAACATTCATCAGAAGTTAGGGAAATAAGTCAAATTTGTTTTTCACTAGGAGCTAGCCAGGCGGCAGCCAAGTGCCTAGTCAGAGTAAGCGGAAACTTACAATCAGAGGAAAAATGCACAATGACCCTATGTTCTGACTTTCCAACTACTCTCTCACAACACACCTTATTAAACATGTACTAAACCAACGAGCACATATTATTTCTAAAGTATCAAACAACTCTACTACAATAATAAAAACCATTGTTAAAATTGCGCTTGAGATCACAAGATTGAGCAATTTTTCATGACAGGGTAGCTAGAACGATTTGGATCAGAACAAAGAAAAAAAAGTTGAAGGAGATCACAAGATCGTTGAGTTGGGTTGTCTAATCCACATGTGAGCAAACCCAAACCTAGTATCTATTGATTAATTTCTTAGAGGTAAGATTGACAAAATTGCTAGACAAAATGCTTGGCAGCCTATAGAAAAAAAAATAGTTGCATAAACATTGCTAGTCAAAAGTGACCATATACAGCTTCAAGTGAAGCAGTTAAACATACAAAAATTCAAAGCTGTCCATTCCATGTTATGTTCAAAATTGAAAAATCAGAATGTCGGCATTTAAATAAACCCAAATTTCAGAAAATAAAGAGCAATACATGAGCAAAGAATTTTGGTGTCCTGGTAATAATGGTCCCACCAATCTAACATCCACCTCTCCAAAAAAGTCTAGTGAATTTTTCATGACATCCTGTGACTAATCTGAAAAAACATTTGTCACTCTTAAAGAGATATCTATGAAAACTTGTGTTACAAATGTCGAATAAGTTCTTTTTTTTTGTACGGAGGAAGTAAAGCTAGGTTGGGGAATATTACCAGAACCATCTCCTATACTTTTGAATCCCTGAGCTAAAACTTAAACTCGGCCCCTCTTTACAAAGACTTCATTTGTTAACTTATGAAATATTTACAAAGTGCTCGGTTTTCAATTGAGCTAACTCCTCTTCAATTTTCTTTTTCTCTTTACACCTACCTTCCATTTCTAGATAATTCTTGCTAAAAAGGAATTGTGATTCTAAATTCATGGTAAGAACTAAGTGACTAACAAACAACGAACTAATGCTCCCTTGGTCCCGTAAAAATGATCCACTTATCTTTCTTTGATTTGTCCCAAAAATAAGGTTTCATTTTCTTCCTATAGAAGAAATTGTGTGTGTCGTTATATTTCTTTATTTATATAATTTCACCTTTCTTAGTAAGCGTGATGATTCATGGTTCCAATGTGAAATCTTATTTTGGGAGAGAGGGAGTGATTACCAATCACTACAAATCACACAATACCCATAAAAAATATCAGGAAAACCAATTTGTTTGAAAGATAAATTGAAGCAAGAACATCTTCCTCATTTTGAAAAAAAAACAGTGAGAAAGCAAGTTCCAAAAACAAAGGCAACACCAGCAATAAGAAGCCAGAGAGTTCAACTTATAACTTTTTTTTTTCTTTTAGCTGTGATTTTACTGCTTGATTAAGGATTTAAATCGTAATATAATAATACTCAGCAAGAATTAAAATATAAGTCACAATCAACTATGTATTTAATTTTATGTAAGATCATTAATTTATAAATGGTGAATAACAATATACAACATATGCAAATTTTATATATAAAATTATTACAAATTATCATCACAAAGACCCAAGTTTATTTAAGATCTTAAGATTTCAACCCTAAATCTCAATAACCCTAGTTTTTTTTCAAAAAATAAATTTTTATATCTATTTATTATAACCCTAAATCATAAAAACATTTGGGGTTTGAGATGAAGAAGCAAGGATTTTAAGAAGCATAAATGCTGTTGTGCTCTAACCGTGTTGCCTGCTACTAGTCGCAAGACTGCCAAAAGAAATCAGAAATCAGAAATGGACTGAAACGTCGCTGTTCTCAATCAGGCTTCTATTTCTTTTGGCGTCGGATGGCTATGGAGAAGTTGGGTATTACAGAGAGAGGATCGCCATCGTCAGCGCGCTTATGCTTCCTAATTGTTTCTAGTCGTTCATTGTTGTAACTTGTAACACATTTTCATGTTTATTTTTGTTTAGGGAGCCTCCACTCAAGTGAGATTTTTCTTACTCCACTGGAAATCGAATTTGTGATCTTTTATTTACAAACGTCACTTTTAGGCTATGTTTGGTTGGAGGTAGGTAAAAGTTTTATTAGGTAGGTAATGGTAGGTAATTGAAGATAGGTAATTGAAGGTAGGTAATGTAAGGTAATGAGTTAAAAAATTGTGTTTGGATGTTTATTAGGTAACGTGAGGTAGAGAAAAAATAAAATTACCAAAATATCCTTGTGGTTGTTTTTCTTTATTTTTTTAGGATGTCAAAGGCAAAACTTCTTAAAAAATCCATTTGAGTATTTTGGCATCAAAAGTGGTTCACGAAGCATAAAAAATACAAATTGAAAATTAAAAAGAGTCATCTATTGCAATATTGTCTTCCATTTCACAATGTGAAAAAGGATAAACTGCTTCTTGCATAGTTAACTAGATAAATCAATCTACAGTAATTAATTAACCCTAGAGCTAAATAAACAGAAACAAAAAAAGTGAAAAAAAGAAAAACTGAAAACTGAAAAAAAAGAAAAAAAGAAACGAAAACTGAAAAAAAGGAAACAAAAAAAACAGAGGAAGAAGAAGAAGATGTGAAGATGGCGATTGGTTTCGTGCGATTGGGTGAAGGGCAGCGGCCTATTTCATTACCTCGATATTTCGCCAATTTGGCGGTCATGTAAAATGCAGTGTTCAGAGGTAACTCTACCTCCCTCTACCTTCCCCTACCTTCCCCTACCTATCTCAATTTTTATTCCCAAGGTAAAATATTAAATCTACCTCCCTCTACCTCTCCCTACCTTCAAACAAACGCAAAGTTAATCTTTGATAGTACGTTGATTCGGAAGTTAGGGAAATAAGTCAATTTTCTTTTTCACTACGAAATAATTGTATGCATTATTGTACTCTAAACAGACCAATTCACGTTGTCTGATTTGTCCCCTGTAAAAGAAAAATTGCAGCAATGTTTCAGTACGCTCAACGGTATATTGAGTGAATTGGGCGGGAATTTAAAAGGAAAATAGAAATTTTATGCAGCTCAAAGACGAAGACAAATTGGAAAGGAGAAGAGAAGCATTTGCAGAAGACGAAGACAGGATCGTCGATATAAGCAGGGCGGCGTTCCCGTTTTGGGATTGACGGTTGATGATAAGCATGGCGGTGAAAGGAAAACAAAGCTCCTAATAAGGTGAGATATGCATATGTTTTTGCTGCCACTACCCTTTGATTATTATCATGATGATAAACGTATATTAGTGGCCGAAATCTGCGTACACACACCCTCCCCATCCCACTCACGTGAGATCCAACTGGATTGTTGTTGTTGTTACATTGTTTTAGGTAACTGAATTAGACCTAAGAGACTCAAGGTTGGAATTAATCATTTTAGAACATAGCTTTGAAATTTTATTGTATTTACTTGTTTTTTTATTTTTTAAAACTATATACAATTCCTTCATACAATAACATGTATTTTTCATATTATTATTATTATGGAGTTTTATTTTCCTATTTTTTCGATGATTTCATTCAATATTTGTCCAATCTTATTTTTGTAACTCAAAACCAGCAAATCAGTACTGGAGTCATTTGTTACCTTCCAATTTATACCATAACTTCATGTAATAAAGTGACATTTATTAACAAATGTTCCTTCAAAAAGCTTTGGATATATTTATTCTACGTTCAAAATAAACTCATGCACATTGGGCTTGTTTGGAAATAACGTTAGAGATTAGGATTAACATTTTAGATAAAATTTTAATGGTGCGGATTAATTTGAAAACGCCAACGCTAAATACTACCCGTAGATAGTCTTTTCAAACGCAAACTAATAGAATAATCCAATCGATTAGTTAGTTCAACTCAAGGGCTTATATACCGGGTTATTTTCTCTTCAAGTTCCGATGTGGGATACTCTTAACACAAACACTAATCTCGCTTGTTCCACAAACGCCATACAATTCCAAGAATATAAAAGCAAGTTAGTCGTCACTAACCATGTGAAGACTCATTTCCAAACATCCACTAATCTTGTACACTAATTAAATGTTACATGCAATTTTTTGTCATATATCTTTCTATATACAATGGTAAGAGGGTTTGTGTTAAGAGTATCCCACATCGGACTAGGTGGCATCGCCTCTTCATGATGCGGGCCGAGTCTAGCCTGCCACTGACGATCGAGTTCCTGTGCTATCTAGAGTTGGAGCCATCTGCAGGGTCGAGGTCGATGAACTTCCAGTCCATCGACTCTCGTACAACCCTCACTTTCACTCTCTTGGGGCGAGGATTTCAGCTGACGGTCGCCGATCTGGCTACACACTTGGGTCTCTACAGTTCGGAGGAGACATTGACGCCAGAATTCGAGGCCGCACCGTACCTTCTCCCTGCAGACATTGATCCCGCTGACCTTTGGGCAGAACATTCTTCAGATCCAGACCACTTTGAGGGCATGGGCCGAGCCAGGTTTTGGATTCAGCCGACTTGGCGAATCCTATCTTTTGTGCTTTCGACATCTTTCTTTGGGAGGCCGTTGAACACGGATCGGGTATACCCCGATGATTTGATTGTCTTCTGGAGCCTGCACACACGCCGGGAGGTGAATGTGGCTGTCTTTGTGGCCCGATTTCTCTACAGTCAGTCCATGGGGAATCGGACGCACATTGTCTGTGGTTTCGTAGTCACCATACTCTTCCGATCACTCGAGGGATCGGCGCCCATTCCACGAGCTCAGATGATGATGCGAGATTTGGATGCCGGCATGCTGAGGAATGCCCACATTCGTAGGAGGTTGGGAGCTGGCTCTACCGAGAGCAACGCCGCTTCCTCATCTGCGCCCTCGACATCAGGAGCATCTTCGCAGGTCTCGTCTAGGAGGGCCACTCGCCGCCGACCCACTCCTCAGGCCACCCCAGCTACGACCCAGGCTGATCCGACCCCTGAATGGGCTAGGAGGATCCTGGAGCAGCAGGATACCATCCTGCAGAGGATGTCCGAAATCGGACAGCAGCAGGCATCCCAGGCTGAGAACTTTGCTCAGCTTCGAAGGACCTTTACTAGCTTTTACTCGGATGTGCACATCG